ATAAGACAGTAATAATGTTTAACAAAAATAATAACTCGGCTCTGTACAGTTTATTCGATTGAGCCTGTACAAATAAAGTAATTATTAAACAAAAAATCAATACATACTCAATTTTTGTAGATGAGCAGTTTGGATTTCGCCATGGGCATTCAACTGCTCATCAACTCTTAAGAGTTACCAATTTAATTCGTTCAAACAAATCTGAAGGCCACTCAACTGGAGTTGCTCTTCTAGACATAGAAAAAGCATTCGACAGTGTTTGGCATGAAGGTTTGATTGGTTAATTGAAAAGTTTAATTTACCCATTTATATTATGAAATTAGTTCCAAATCTAATCGACTACCTGTTAGAGCAGGAGTTCCTCAGGGTAGCATTCTTGGGCCTATATTGTAAAACATTTTCACTTCGGACCTCCCTGATTTGCCTCAGGGTTGCCACAAATTTTGTTCGCTGATGACACAGGTATTTCCGCTAAAGGAAGAAGTATTCGTGTTATTTGCAGCAGACTGCAGAAAAGTTTAGATACTTTCTCTTCTTATTTACAAAAATGGAAGATTTCTCCCACCGCTTCCAAAACTCAACTTATAATATTTCCACATAAGCCTAGAGCTTCCTTTTTGAAACCTAGTAGTAGTCACATAGTCACTATGAACGGAGTTCCAATTTCCTGGTCAAACCAAGTGAAATATCTTGGATTAATACTTGACCAAAAATTAACTTTTAAAGATCACATTGAGGGCATTCAAGCTAAATGTAACAAATATATAAAATGTTTGTATCCTCTTATAAACAGGAAATCCAAACTTTGCCTGACGAATAAACTTCTAATATTTAAACAAGTTTTAAGACCGGCCATGCTTTACGCTGTGCCAATATGGTCTAGTTGTTGCACTACCAGGAAAAAAGCACTTCAAAGGATTCAGAACAAAGTTCTTAAAATGATTTTGAAGTTGCCTCCCTGGTACAGTACTACCGAGGTACATATAATTTCGAATGTTGAGACTTTAGAACAAATAACCAACAAAATAATTAATAATTTCAGGCAAAAATCGTTGCAATCCTCAATTGCAACGATTAATTCCCTTTACATTTAGATAAGATTTAGTTTTTGTTTTTAGTTTTAAGGTTTAAATTGTTATACTGACATGCAGGTTTCAAAAACCTGTTTAAAATACTGAATTGCGAAGGCAGGAACAATGTAAAAACACATAGATATATATCATAACAATTAAGGCTGGTAAGTTACTGTAGTAACTGGAGCACCTAGGTTAAAATAAAATATAATTTATTTTGAATTTGGAACAAAATTAAAAAAGCTGGTCAATTGGCAAAAGTAGGGTAATCCACGAAATTCATTGGTCCTGAACCATTTTTTTACTTTTCTTTGTGCTTTAAAAATGGAGCTTAAAAACTGGGAAAAACAATGGTAGAGTACCTTATATTTTCGGCAATCTAACGTTTTATAAAGGCGAACGCTTTGCATGTACAAAAATTACTTACTATTTCTAAAAAAGATTTGAGTACATACGCTGGTTTGATAACAGGACACTGTCCTTGTAAATATCACCTGAAAATCATTGGTAAACTTCATGAAGATAAATGTCGCTTTTGTAACTTAAAGAGTGAAAGCTCTGAACATTTGCTGTGTGACTGTGTTGCACTATTTCGTAAACGATGCAGATATCTTGATAAGGGTCTGATGAGACCTTGGGAAATCTGGGCTTCTGCTCCCAATCATGTAATATATTTCATAAAGAATGTATTACCTGGTTGGGATAATTGCTTACATACAATAGTAGTGGTAGCGACTCAAACAATAGTGGCATAAATCAAAAGAGGATACACCACAATAGATCAAAGTAATGGTCGCGGTGGTATTATGTCCCCAACATAGGGAAAAAAAAGATTCGATTTATAGATCAACAAACATTATCTGGTTTTCTTGAGATCAACTGTCTCGAATACATTCTGTCATAGCTTAATTCATCTAAAAATCACCATCTCAATGCGATGCTATCAATTAACAGTTGATTTTTATGAAGAGTTATTCTCAGCCCCACATTCGCTACCGAGTTCGTCGCTTCCGCCTAATTGTAGTTACTTTACGTTTTGCTCCGCAGTCAGTGGATGCCATTCACTGGATGGAGACGCTTGGTAGCATTTATGCACCACATGTCATTTGAAATTTCGAATCCGATGGAAGCGCATGGTCTTCGATGAATTTCGTACAGTTTCAGGTGCTGCTAAAAGCGCGATGTGAATTTCGATTTGAAGGTTAGGCAGGAACAATATAAATGTACCAACCAGGGCCGGATTGTTCGATGAAGTGGAACTAAGATATGTACTGAGAGGTATCTTTGTTTGCGGATGGAGTTTAAGCCGGTATTAATGTTCCCTAATTCTTAGCTACCTGATCCTTTGTACCGTGCAGTGCCAATCTGTAGTGCATTGTAATATTATCTTATTTCATATTTTTTCTCACACACTAGACAACAATATCTATGGACATTTCTTTTTTACTTCAAAATATGAATTAAATTTGGTTTGAATTAAAAAAAATGCGTGGAATTAGGGAGTTATAGGTGCATGAAATTATGGCACTTCACGGTGAGTAAGAATACTCACCGCAAATGGTATGATTATTATCATAATCTAGGTAAAAATTTAAACTATCGCATAAATCTCCCGTCCGTTAAATTTGAGCTACAGTTGTCAAATGCAACCAAATTGTTTACTGTATACAACGGTGCTAATTTATGCAATATTGTGCTTAAATTAATTTGAAATGTATTATAAATTTACGCCAAATCTAGCGCTATACATTGCAAAAATTTACATTTATTATTCAAACGGTGTACTAATCATGTTTTATTTTTAGCAGGATTCCTTATTTTAAACAGCAAAGTGTAGACTTTTGATCTATGTTTTACCCCTTTTTAACCTTAGGTAAACCAATGTCGATAGTGAAATTGTTTTTATTCAATAAGTGGCTAATAACAGAAAGTTCATATTGTTCAACCTCTATCCATCCATACAACAAAAACCACATCACTGCTCGATCCTTCGGCCACATACAATCAATTTTCAATTTGCGTTTAGCTATATTCCAACCCTGAATTATGTATGCAACTCAATCTCCTATCGCTTCAATTGAGCGTAAATGTGGTTTAAAAAAAGCCACTCTCATATTTCATCCCACCGACTGTTTTGAAAACCAACACATATATTGATTAGTTGGAACCTATCCCGTAAAGGGACTCGTGTGAATGCGTGCGATTTATTTTTCGCTTTGCATCATTAAATAAATTTAAAGGCGCAAAATATTGTATGACTCCAGACAGCACCCCAATTGCATCAGATTTATTGTTGTTTATTTATAGCTCCCTACATACATTTGATATTTTCTCCCGAGGGAGCTCTGCTCCCTTGGTGGGAAATCCCTATCCAGTTACGACACATACATCCCATTCTACCTACGTTTGATTGTCCTCGCCGACACCACCGCCGACCGTCATCATCATCTTCAGTCTCCCTGAGTGCTGAGTGCTTCAACCAAAGCACAGCCGTCTAATGGAGATTAATTCAATCCGATTCCGATGGCTGTTGTTGATTTAATTTAGTTTTATCGCTTCGCTGCCCCGCCGCACAACCAACTGCATCGGATAGGCATATCGATATATGTAGACGTTGGTTTGGGCTGCGGAGCCGAATGATCGATCGCAAAATCAAAGAACGAGGCAGGGAAGATGTAAAAAGTCAAACAACTAGGTTATGCAATCAACAGGTTCTTGACGCGGGCTGCAAAAGGGGAACTTGTCGGATAGATTGCCACCTTCAGCACCGCAAAAACCACCAACCGTTTCGATTTCTTCCATCTGGAGCAATTAAATGAGCGGAGGAAATTTTCTGCAGACCGTTCTACAAACCCTATTGCTAGTTCTTTAATTATCTTATGTTTCCTGTCTGCCCGCTGCACGTGAGTTGGAGTTCAACAGCTTTTGTTGTAGGTAGTTTTTGTTTCTTCTACCAGCGTGTGGGTTAAAACATAAAAAAGCGGATTCGATCGATATTAAAACGCTGGCAACCAAAGCCGTCGCACAGTGGTTCAAAAGAGTTGTCTTCGTTCGAGTTTTAATTTGAATAAAGTCCCATCTGATGAAGGAATCATTTATAAATCCTTAGAGTGCTACTTGAGTGTTTTTGCGTGACATTTCACAACTGTAGAAGTCGTAATTTTCATAAACAATACATCATTGATATAGAATGCATAGTGGCGCCGGTGATGTAGTGGTAAGCGTGATTACATCTCACCCCAGCAGGCCTGGGTTCAATCCCAGTCGGTGCCGCTGGGATGTTCTGAGGCATAACATCTCTAATCCGGGAAGTGAAGCCGTTGGTCCCCGGTTCATGAGTTGATAGGTCGATAAGTAGGGTCCAGGTGTGGGAGCTGCCTCCCTGGCGTCGGTTGGTGCTCAGCACGGAAAACAAGATCGAGGGAAAACAAGTCACGGAAAAAATGATAAAGGGGAAATGGCTCTAATTTTGGCCTATGGATCTAAGATTGGGCGCATCGCTAAAAATCTACTTTTTATAAATTTTATCTAGATGAACGCGTCATTGGGACGGTACTTATGGATATTTTTGATCATTATTGAAAATATAGTCGATTGCTGAATTGACGTATGGGCCCAAATTAGGGGCATTTAGGCCGACATTACATCCATTTCCCCTATAAAGCATTGTTATGGAAGCCCCTAAGATTAATGCAATAATTCTATAATTTTGTAAAATGTGTTTCTGATAGATTTTTTTTTCTAATGTGCACCACTGCGCGTCACGAATGATAGGGGATATTTACGATCAAGCGGTAGTATAAGTTAAGCTAAATCGATGAAAGGTAAGCGTTCGCAGTGGAAGCGATTGCCTACCAGTAGGCGACTTGAATGCTTTATGGCGGCTGTTCGGTGGTAAGTGTGTCGATGTTGTCGGTTGATACTTACCATTGAATGCTGGCAGTGTGGAGAGATATGCGATGTTTTGTGGGTTCTGAAAGTGGAAAGAGATCAACTGTTAAATTTCATTCACTCATCATCAATCAATTGAGAAGGTAGTTGTTTGAACTATGGAGATAAAATAAAAACTGATCGTATAAAAATCCTGTCAAATTTCCAAAATTTTTAAATAGCTATCATGAAAACATCGAAAATCATGAATCCGTCCACGGAAAACATCGATTTAACTTATTATTTTATCCATCATTAAGCTTAGTCGAGATTTTTGTTTTTCACGATTTTTGCATTCTTAATATTTCCTCATTGCTAAATTGAATAAAATAAAGTTATGTCTAATCTATAAATATAGAATGAAAATCGAAGATCGTAAAAAAAAGCAAAATAATAGTAATATGGTGGAGGCATAAAATTATATAGAACTATAGGATGAAAATCGAAGATTTTAAAAAAATATATTAAAGGTTTGTGTCCTAGACACGACCACAGTATGACGTAGAACTACGCAAAATTGATGTATGTCATGCATTTTTGATTATTATACTTTATCTTAAATTTTTCATGCTTTTCAATGTTTCGGTAATGGTTCAAAACTCGTGACAATTCATGTTAGCATAATCAGACCACGGTTCATCCTACGCATGAGATTATGCATTTAAATTTAATGTAATGGTTAAGAATTGACAGAATTTCCCCTACATAACTACATTGGGTTGATAAATGTTGAGCTATTTTGCTGTGATCAATGTACACTAAATTTTAAATCGACATCAACTACAATTGGAACTGACACTATTTCGTCACTCATTTTTTTGTTGAATTGCACCTCAGTATAGTACACAAAAACGCCATGCATGTTGTGGGATATATCGATTGTCAAAAAATACATTAATTAAATGTTTGGTTTCCAATAAGCAGGTGCTTAGTACAACAATAATTGAACATTAGGGGGCTCAAGTCAGAGCAAAAGCTTGTATACAGGTTTTCCACTTGTTTAATGTTTTGATAGTAAACATCATAGTTAAGGTACTCCGGTGCAAGTTGAAACAGTACGTATATCTCTTTGGAAGTGAATATTAACTGTAATTATTTTTGAGATGCATTGTGTACTACCGCAAACTATATTAGAAATAATATCAGTGATTATTCACTTCCGCTAAGAGATACATCTACCGTTTCAACTTCCCCACGCGTTTATACTTGCCCCGGTGTAGGGTAATGGATTTTGGTAGGACCTATTCATGTCATTTTCGCACTGCGTCTAAATGTATGCCGTGTTTTTTTCTATGAATATTACATATGGACATTGTGTTTGGTGAAAAAGTCTAACTTTCTAGTATTTAATAATACTAAAAAATGAACAATGTTCCCAAAACAGGATTTTATTGAAACGCGGGCTCGTAATCACACAAGAACTCCTTAGTAATTGTGCTAAGTGGAAACAGAAGATAGAGCTTCTTTCTCTACAGGCGAACCAGTCCCAGGCTGAAAGCCTCCCAAATAAAGATAAATTAATTAATTAATTCTTTCTCTATGATGCACGGTATATGCCTTTGGGTTAACATCCGACGTCCCTCCTTCTTTACATATTCTGCACATAACATACTTTCTAAGCCCTGCCCCTGACAGGATTTCCTTCCATTTTTTTTATTAATGGGGCGGGGCAGAAAGTATCTTTTGAGTAGAATATGTAAAAAAGGATGGACTTCGAATGTTTATCTAATTACATATAAAGAGGTACCAGATATGTTTTACAGTCAGTATTTTTCTTTCTTTGCTCGACTGTCGAGCTGTTCAGTCCGTATTTTCGCTAGAGTTCTCGATTCGATTTTGTTTCGTTGTGTGCAGTCGCGTTGCGCCGTGGAAGTGTTGCCACCTTCTCGCGTTCGTGCCAATGAGCCAGCAGCGGGCCCTTCAAACAAGGTGCTAATCAAGCCCAGCGCGTCGCAGGATGACGCTGGAAAATGAGTACTGCAAGCCAACCAGTATGCAGTACTCCCGGAAGAAAATGGCGATGGTGACGCCGTTCCCATTGCAAGACGAGAGCGGATTCCCCCGCTTATCACGCCGGTGAAGGATGTTGCCAAGCTGGGTGCTGAACTGGCAAAACACAAGCTGCTGCCTTGCTTCAAGCTTTGCAGCATCGGTACCAAAATCATATGCTCCAACCTGGAGGAGTACAAACAAATAGGAAGTTTCCTGAAGAACAACAACGTGCTTCCGTGATCAGTTGTTCCTGGTGCATTTCACGAAGGGATCCACCAGTCTTGTGGCTCTGAGATCCAATATCCGGGACCTGTTTCAGTTCATCATCAGTTGGGAGCATTACAAACCCCAACATCGTGAAGTAACGCAGTGTATGAACTGCCTCTCATATGGCCATGGCACCAAAAACTGCCACATGAAGACAAACTGCGGCAAGTGTGCTTGAACTCACTCAACTGCGTCCTGTGAGCAAGTCGATGACATCGAGCCAACGTGTGTCAACTGCGGTGGAAACCACCAAGCCTCCAATCGCGGATGTCCCAAGCGAGTGGAGTTCATTAATATCCGTCGGAAGCCCACAATCAACAACCAGCTTGGTCGCCTTCGTAATCATCGTTCGCCTCCTGTACTCACGGAAGTCTATTACCCAGCTCTCCAGCCCCGTCGACATGTTCCGAACCTAGCATCGCTTCCGCTCAACAACCAACAAGCCAATCCTGCGAGTATCTAAATGGTTCCTAACAGTCGGACAGTTCAGCATTGTCTCGCTGCTGCTGCGGCCCAGCCAATTCCAGGTTCATCCACCGCCCCTGGTTTATCATACGCTGGTGCTGTCTCAGGTGAATCTGTCGACGATTCTCCGTTCACCTCGGAGGAACTTGTGACTTCATGCTGCCTTGTCACTCGTCACCAAGTATGGACCGTGAAGCTATACAAATTGCAAATTGGAACGCTTGCTCACTGACGAACAAGCATAGAGAGCTACTCGATTTCCTCAACACCAAGGAGGTCGACATTGCTATCATCACCGAGACTCATTTGAAGCCCGAACTGAACGTATTCCTTCCCGACTTTCGGCTCGTCAGACTTGATCGCACCTGCTCTGGAGGTGAAGGAGTGGCCATCGCTGCAAGACGGAACATCAGTTGCCGGCTGCTACCAAACTTCCAGCTGAAAACAATTGAAGCCATCGAAGTGGAGGTGAGCACATCACTTTGCCCAATCACCATCATCGCGGCCTACTGCCCCAAGCAAACCAACATTAGGGACGGGTCGTCAGTGGCCCTCCGGAAAGACATCATCAAACTCATCCGGAGGAGTGGGAACTTTATCATCGCTGGCGATCTGAACGCAAAACACCAAGCTTGGGGCAACGGTCGGAGCAATAGAAACGGCATCATCCTCAATGAAGACCTGCAAGAGGGCCACTATACCATCTTGGCCCTGGACTCTCCCACCCGGTTGAGTCGGTCTGGGGTCCATGCGACCATCGACATCTTCGTAAGCAACATGGGACCCAACATCTCGCAACCTGTGGCATTCCAGGAGCTGAGCTCGGACCACTACCCTTTGGTGGTCGAAGTTGGATCCTCGGTTAACCGATTCGAAGCTTCCCGGCGCAACTACCATCGAGTCAACTGGGCGCAATATCAACACTGCGTTAACACAACCATCGACTACGATGTCCAACCGGAGACGTCCGAAGATGTTGACCGGTGTCTACAAACCATCGAGGAGGCGATTTCCCGGGCCAGGGAACAACACGTGCCAGTATCCAGACAGGTGAGTAACACTCTGAACCTTGACAGCCCTACCAAAGATCGCACTAGACTCTGTAACACCATTCGTAGGCAGTACCAGCGTACTGGCCTGCCTAACATGAAGACCAATTGTAATCAATTAACAAAGATCATTCAGGCCAGGATGGTGGATCTCAGAAGTAACGATTTTGCTAGTAAGATCCGCTCTCCCCCAGATTGTGCTAAGCCCTTCTGGAAACTTACAAAAATTCTTAAAAACAAGCCTAGGCCCATTCCACCACTGACCCCACTGGATCGTCCCGGTGACCCAGTGGTTCATCTGATAACTCCTGAAGAGAAGGCTGTCGCGATAGGTCAACACTTCGTCAGCTCCCATAATCTCGGACAAAACATCGTCAGCCCTCATGAATCTGAGGTTGCTGAAAATGCAACCAATCTTCTTCAGATTCCTAACATTTTTCCAGAGGAATCCAAGATTACGGCTGACGAACTGTTGGCCTATATCAAATCATCTAAAAACATGAAGGTCCCAGGTTTCGACAACATCCTGAATCTGGAACTCAAACACTTGAGTTCCAGATTCTACAACCATCTGGCACTGATTTTTAATCAGTGCCTCAGACTTGGCTACTTCCCCTCGTGTTGGAAGTTAGCTAAAGTCATACCCATCCGAAAACCTGGGAAGGATTCGTCCTCTCCTTCAAGTTATTGACCAATCAGCCTTCTCTCAGGGTTATCAAAACTGTTCGAAAGAGCAGTCTACCACCGGCTCCTAACATCTACCGAACAAAACAACATCTTACTTGAGGAACAGTTTGGTTTTTGAAAAGGTCGTTCGACCGTCCACCAGCTGACTCGAGTGACAAATATTCTCAGACGGAACAAGTATGTTTCGAAAACATCTGTCATGGCGTTGTTGGACGTTGAAAAAGCGTTCGACAATGTCTGGCATGATGGCCTGGTGTTCAAATTGCAGCAGTACGGTCTTCCAATCTTCCTAGTGAAAATAATAAACAACCATCTTTCAGATAGGACGTTCCGAGTCTCTCTGAATGGCATCACATCGGATGCTTTCAATATCGGTGCCGGGGTTCCACAAGGAAGCATCCTTGGCCCCATCGTATTCAACCTGTTCACCTCCGATATACTGGCTCTCCCTGATGGTGCATCGTTGTCTCTGTTCGCAGATGACACATCCATCGTTTACAAGGGTAGGGTCATCGGAGCTCTGACTGCCAAACTTCAGAGAGGCCTGGACGTCCTGTCTGAATATTTCAACAGCTGGAAGATC